AACTTCTCTTTCTCTTTTTCATGATGTGAATGTTAGTTCACTTGGTAGTATCCATAATTCACATAGGCTTTCTTCATTTAAAAAAAAAAAAAAATTGTTCCTGTCTACTTTCAAATGCTCTGTCTTAAAAGTTCTCTGATTTTTTCTTCCATATGAACAAGTTTATTTTTGAAGCTGCCTATTAAACTTTTTTAGTTCTGTTGTATTCTTCAGCTCTAGTATTTCTAGTCGGTTCTTTTTTATTATTTCTAATTCTTTATTAAACTTCTAATTTTATTCATTCATTGTTTTCCTGATTTTGTTAAATTGTCTATCTGGGTTTTGATGGGGTTTTTTTGCATTTCACTGGGTTTCTTTAAGATGATTATTTTGAATTCTTTATCAGGAAAATTGTAGATCTCCATTTCTTTGGAATTGGTTACTGGAGCTTTGTTATTTTCCTTTGCTGGTGTCATATTACCTGATTCTTCTTTATCCATGTATTCTTGCATTGGTGTCTGTGCTTTTGAAGGAGCAAACTCCTTGTCCAGTCTTTACAGACTGATTTCAGCAGGTAAACTTCTTGTTTATTCCCTAAACCGATGGGATTACCTCTAGAATTTCAGTCATGCTGGGTTGTAGCTGGTTTTAAAGCTGTTGCTGGGTCTGCTGTATGGTTGGAAGGCTTGTTACAAGGGGCTCATCTAGGCAAGGTTAGCTGGTTCCTGGGTGAGTGGGACTGTTTCTAGTACTTGTTCAGTAGGCTATCACTTGGACAAATGTCCACTTCGAGGTCCACAATTGAGTTCTCAGTAAGCTGGCCTCTTACCTGGTGTATGGTTGGGTGCAGTTCCAAGCAGGTCCCTAGAAGGGCTCTTGCCTGGTCACTGGATGGGTCCCAGGGTGGGCAAAAATGGCCTCTGGACAATAGCTGAAAAGGCACATGCAAAGGATGTCTTATTTGGCCATTTTACTGGCATCATTCCTGTTCATTTTTTGTGGCACCTGGCAATAAGAATCTCTCAAAAGTCATGAAAAGAGTAAATCAATGACTATATTTGTTTATGAAAATTATTCAAAGAATGTGTATACCATCTGTTTTCTATCTCTGCAGTGAACAGAATTATAGTTGAAAGTTTAAATTAGAGAAAATACAATATAGAGAATAAAGTTTAGAATACAAAATATACTCTTGTAGTACCGTTATGACTATTTATTTTTCAATTATAGTTGGCATTCAACAGTATTTTGTATTAGTGTTAGTTGTACACCACAGCAGTTAGACATTTATATAATTTACAGTGTGATCCCTCCAGTAATTCTAGTACTCACATTGCACCATACATAGTTATTACAATATTGTTGACTATATTCCCTATGCTGTACTTTACATCCTCATGACTGTTTTGTAACCGATTAGTACTTCTTAATCCTTTCACCTTTTTCGCCCAGTCCCCAACTCCCCTCCTTTCTGGCATCCATCAGTCTGTTTACTGTATCTATCAGTCTGTTTCTGTTTTGTTTGTTCATTTATTTTGTTCTGTAGATTTCACATATAAATGATATCATATGGTATTTATCTTTCTCTGCCTGGCTTATTTCACTTAGTGTAATGCTCTCTAGGTTCATCCATGCTGTTGCAAATGATGCCTAACTAGCTTTTAACTGTTTATAAATTTAAGTTGTCTTTAAAAGATCATAGACCTAGCCTTTAAAAAGCTTGACATAATTTTGTTTTTTAGGTATGGTTATAAAAATGTCATTTTCTAAAAACTTTCTCCAGTCACATGAAGCTCATAAAGATTATTCAATATATGTTCTTACAGATTTTTTTTAAATCTAAGAGATGTTACCCAAGATTCATCTTCAGCTGGTAATTGGGAAAAAGGAAGACAACTTAGAATCCATATGATTTTGAGTCAGAATACATTGCTGAATTTAGTATGGTATCTGACATGGTGTTTGGAATCTGATAACTTTCAAATTCAGAGTTTGCTTTTGGTAGTAAATAAATGCCTAGCCCATTATTGCACTGATGTAGACTATGGGGAAAGAGAGGAATTGATATCAATCAAGTGTCTCATTGATTTGAGGGTGCTGATGCAACTGCTTGCAAGGGGCTTTTTAGTCACATTTACTCCCAGGATAATGTGCATGTGAGCAATTTTTTTTTTTATCTGAGTGGTATTAGCTTAAATGCTATAAATTCATCCAGATGACATAAAGAGATAGAAAACTGACTTAGGCCATAACACCAATTCCTGAGGTATATTTAAGGTTGCTATAGTTACTGTATATATAACTTAACTTTAGGCAGGAATCTACCCCCTTTGTGATGAAAGTGTGGATTTCAGCTATTTTACTGAGAGCATATGCCCTGTTATGTAAGGACCAATTATCATAGAGCTGAAGCTACAGTATTTAGGTTTTGTGGTGCTTTGGTCAATTACCTGGCAGCTGACTTCAGTTCTTTGATGTCTTTGAGACTCCTAGATGCCTACATATCCTGTCCTAGAAAAATTTCCTCAAAGTGTAGTCCCTGGATCAGCAACAGCATCACCTGAGTGTTTTCTATAAATGCAAATTCTCAGGACCTATTTTAGACTTACTGAATGAAAAACTCAGGAGGTGGGGCCCAGGAGTCTGTATTTTAACATGCCCTCCAAATTCTGGTCATTCATGCTCAAGTCTAAAAACCACTTTTCCAGAGTTTACAGAGATTCTAAGGCCTTTCCTTGAGTCACAGTGAGAAACTACAGTTCAAGACTACTCTAAAGGAGCCTTCTTAAACTCCAACACCACAGCCCTTAGCAATCCCTTGTGGAGTCCATCCAGGCAGCATGGAGTATGTACCACCAAAGCCTTCTCTCCTAGGAAATGGTACAGGTCTTGAGAAAATCTCTACACTGGCTGTAAGATATGTCATGTGATACTCAAATGAAAGGTCATTCACTCATTTAATCAACAGATATGTTTGAGTATCTAGTAAGCTTTAGTCACATATCTAACTCAAGAATCTTGTGGTCAAAGAAAGAAGATAAGATGGGAGCACAGTAATGGGAAAAGAGATCACCTCCAACTCAGAGATATCAAACTCAAATTCAAAGGAAACAAACTGCATATTTAGCTGCTGATTTTTGACAGTGGATAGCCATAAATATTTTTCAAACTACCATAAACATAATCAGTAGTGAGGTTTAAAAAAGTAAATTTTGTGACTCTCTGTGGAATGGGCCAGAAGGAGAAGGAAACAGAGAAGGAAGTCCCACTACAAATAATTATGACAACTGAGAAATGAGTATGGCCTGACCTAGGATGAAAATAAAACCTGAAGAATTTTTACCAGTGAATGGCTATGAGATTGTTGGTAAATGAAAAGGAATAAATGGAACATACATCTGAAGTTTGGAGACTAAAGAAGTAAGATCGTTATGTTATTAAAATTAAAGTGAAATAAAAGGTAAATAATAGAGCTTGAGATGGGAAGCTTGTTATTTTGTGAGCATGTTGAACTTCGGGTGCATGTTGAACATTCATTCAAATCAAGGGGCCCAAGTTATAGGTATAAGTGTAGGACTGTTGGTAGTTCATGAGAAAGAAAACAGGACTGGCCATCTAAGTTGGGGAGACATCTACAAAGATGTGATTATTGATGTTATGGGAAGAAAGGAGATTTTTAAGGGAAAGTGGGTTGAGAGAAAAATGAGGCAGGCTGTAGAAAACATCTTGAGAAATTATAGTACTTATGGGTTGGAAGAGAGGCATCCATGGAACAGGCAGAGGAGCCAGAAACAGAAAGTGTCATGTAAGCAAAAGTGATATCCAGCCGGACCTTAACAGTATGGGTGGACCAGTTGTTTACATTTCTTCTGAATTTGTAAGTGCTCTGTTCTTATTGGTGTTTATATTGACCCAGTTTCAAATATTTTTAAGCCTACAAAAGACAAAGGGCAAAGAATAAGGATCCAGTCATTATACATCCCAGATTTGGGTAAACTTCAACACTTTAGAGAACTTTGTGGCAAACTAGAAGACACCAACTTCCAAGAAAGAAAATAGTATATGCATGAAATCATTCTGCAACCTACAGTCTGGCTTAAGGAGACCTCCCTCAGCATAAAGACAGTAATTAGAGCTGAGTTGAATTATGAATTCTGATATCACATCCTGAAAAGGAAATTGATGAATGAGAGACTATCCAGAAGATAAATGACTTCTTGTTCTTAGAAACAATAAATGAGAAATTTGAGATGTTTGTCTTAAAATTTTGAGATAAAGATAATGCATGATAATGGTCATCAAATATTTGAAGAGTTTTTATGTAAAAAGAAGGAAGAATGAGGAAGGAAACAGATTTTAGACCTACATTTTATTCATTTACATTGTAATTTTTTATTCTTATTTTCAAACTGATTAACATGATGAAAAATAATTTGTCAGTATTTTACATGTAACATGAACTGGAGATCTTTACTGGAGATCAGTAAAGCAATATGCTTTTTCTATAATAATTCAGTGTAACAATATCCTCAGTCCCAAAATCTAAGAACCAACTTCCAGTAAAAAAAATATTTCCACTGTCAAGCAAAGTGCACTTTTCTCTTTTTTCCAGCAGGGTAAAATGACTAAAGGCAGGATTAATTGAACGTACCACTCTTTAGAATAAGTACATGCTATCCAAATATGTGGCTTTTCATAAGCAGTCAAGATCCTCTATAATCTGTGCATCAAAAATGCTAGAAGTTAATATATTATTATTCTTTTCATTGATTTTTCTCCTACTGCCTTCACAACAACAACAACAAAAACAAAATGAAAACATTACCCCTTATACCTCCAAATTAGTTCCAGAATATTTGGCATTATTGAACTGTTATTGAAAACTAACAAATCCTTCTTTTTTTGATCCCCTAGAAGTGGAACATTTGGAGATGTTTGTGAAAAGAGGTGAATGTTTTTATGTCCTATTGTTTTCTTCGTAAAGTAGTGACTTCAACTTTACTCTGTAATGTTTTTGACAGACAATAAAGATTATGATGCATACTTGTCTTACACCAAAGTGGATCCTGACCAGTGGAATCAAGAGACCGGGGAAGAAGAGCGCTTTGCTCTTGAAATCCTACCTGATATGCTTGAAAAGCACTATGGATATAAGTTGTTTATACCAGATAGAGACTTAATTCCAACTGGAAGTAAGTTAATGTTTTCACTTGAGAGTGTGCATATTCTTGTGTCTATACTTGTAGTCATCATTTTTAGACAGAACTTGACCTTTTGGTTCTTTATTTCAAATATTGTGTCAGATTCTTCAGAAATAAATGTTACTATGTGTTCATATGAAACTTAATTTTTGACACTGCTGAAGAGCTAATTACATTATTTTATAAACCATCTCATTTTATGAGCCTTAACATTTAAATAAACCAAATGAGAGATTTGTACCTGGAAAAAATATTTCTAATATTAAAAGAAGCAAAGCCCATACTCTCTTCAGAGTGATCATTGGCTGTTTTCATCTCCTCAAGATGCGACACAACAAATACCAATTCTCATTTAATGTGTGAAAGAGAATCTTCCAGGGCTTTCTGGACCGCATGTTGGATTTACTCATTCTGATAATCCCTTTTCTCTTTTGTAGCATACATTGAAGATGTAGCAAGGTGTGTAGATCAAAGCAAGCGGCTGATTATTGTCATGACCCCAAATTACGTAGTCAGAAGGGGCTGGAGCATCTTTGAGCTGGAGACCAGACTTCGAAACATGCTTGTGACTGGAGAAATTAAAGTGATACTAATCGAATGCAGTGAACTACGAGGAATTATGAACTACCAGGAGGTGGAGGCCCTCAAGCACACCATCAAGCTCCTGACGGTTATTAAGTGGCATGGACCAAAATGCAACAAGTTGAACTCTAAGTTCTGGAAACGTTTACAATATGAAATGCCTTTTAAGAGGATAGAACCCATTACACACGAGCAGGCTTTAGATGTTAGTGAGCAGGGGCCTTTCGGGGAGCTGCAGACTGTCTCGGCCATTTCCATGGCTGCAGCCACCTCCACAGCTCTAGCCACTGCCCATCCAGATCTCCGTTCCACCTTTCACAACACGTACCATTCACAAATGCGTCAGAAACACTACTACCGAAGCTATGAGTATGATGTACCTCCTACCGGCACCCTGCCTCTTACCTCCATAGGAAATCAGCATACCTATTGTAACATCCCTATGACACTCATCAATGGGCAGCGGCCACAGACAAAATCAAGCAGGGAGCAGAATCCAGATGAGGCCCACACAAACAGTGCCATCCTGCCACTGTTGCCAAGGGAGACCAGTATATCCAGTGTGATTTGGTGACAGAAAAGCAAGGGACACCCAGTCCCTGGGAGCTTGAGTAGAGTCTGCAGTCCAGTGCCTGGAACTAAATCCTCGACTGCTGCTGTTAAAAAACATGCATTACAATCTCTAGAACACGAGGAAAAACAGGGTCTTGTACATATGTTTTTTGCAGTTTCTTTGTAGCATCAGTGTCTTGCTGTTTTACCATGTCTCTTACCCATTACATTTTTGACTTTGTTTTATATGTCACTGGAATTTGTAAATTTACATTTTTTTAAAGAAGAGACTTATGTATAGATAGAAAACCCTTTTTTGCTTCATTAGTTTAGTTTTAGGATGGGTTTTATTTCCTTTTCTCGATTTTGTTTTGCTTTTAACATTTCCTTGGGGTGCTTGGACAAATCCATTTGATGGGCCAAGGAGCACCGGATCCTCTCTCGGGTTCTCCCTAGGATCAGCAGGGCCACAGGGGCTGTCAGAGAGCAGTGCACCGAATGCCAGCATTGTCATTGGGGGGGAGATGAGAACACTTGCTCCTAGGATGGCCCCGCCACTCAGAGCCCTGAATCTCTTCCTTGCCCACCTCATTCCCACCTCTACCCTTCTAATGGCGGCATGATGTGTAAACTCCGAGGAAGGGTGCGGGTGGGTCTAACTGTCTTAACATTTAATTCACTGCTCGTCAGAATACACTCCAGACCCAAAAGTGTGCTAGTCACATGACAGTGACCGCTACAGCGTGCTAAGAAGAGAAGATCAAGGGCATGAAGTGGGGGGAAGAGTGTCGTTTCCGTTTTTTAACTGAGTTGATGTACCCTTATATAAATATATATATATATAAAAACACACAACAAAACAGAAGAAAAAACAAACAAACAAAAAAACACACAAAACAAAAAACACAAAAAAACACAAAAAAAAACAACAAAACAAAACAAAAAAATTAAGCCCTATATTTGATCACTTCCTGGAAAGGCATGAATGTGTTTGTGGCTGTTTTTGTTTGATATTCTACTTCCTCTTTTCCCTCTGTATTTTTTTCTGCAAATGAGATTACGTGCAAATGCCAGGCAAGTTTAACTCAAAAGGGTGAACCAACACGACTCAAAATGAAATTTACGTTGAAGGCTTCCAAACCAAAGGGAAGGACAGGACGTGTCATCAAATATGTTTTGTCACCTTGTATTATACAAAATGTTATTTTCTAAAGTGTCAGAACAAATATGTGAAACTTATTATGGGGTTCCCTTGTGTTCAATGTTAATTCACTGTATTTAATTTTCAGTGTTACATTCAGAAGCAAGTGTTTGGTTTCAGTTTGTGAACATAAACAACGCTTATTAATATCAAAGTGTTTAAATAAGAACTCAGAAGGTCAAACATATGAATACGTAGAGAAATCAATATTTTCAAAATAAACATTATTTACATGAAATGGTTTTTAAATTAGGTAAGAACGTGTTTAAAATAATTTTACTGTATAAAGCATTAGTTTCATTTTAACTGTATAATTCTATCTTTCAGAAACAGAAAGCTGATGCTCCCAGAAAATTCCTCCCTACCATGTAGCTTTATGTTTTATATCAGTGACATAGCAGCTAATATATATTTATGTTGAAGATAATGCAAAAAGGAACTTGCAGGGGGCAGAATTGTTAAAGGGAAATATTACCTAAGTAGCTTTTAGTTAAAAAAAAAAAAATCAATGTGATGAAAATACTGATAATAGACCCTTTACGTTACTTTAGTGATTCATTGTAGGAACTTCCCTACCAGTCATCGTCTGTGGGCTCCTGTAGTGACTACTGTATGTTTGCTTTGTTCCTACCACCACATAATAAGAAAACAAGTCTACAGTTTTGGTCACTATTCTAAGGTGTGAGTTGGCCACAAAAAGTGTAAACTTCAGTAGAATTCATCAGGGAGGGTAAATTTGAATTGCAAATGTACAAGAGATAAGTATAAGAATATTGTAACAATGCAAAGGCCTCAGTAAGCCTTGGGATGTGCATTGATTTTTATTTGCTTAAAAAATGTTTATTTCCCTGACAACTTGCCTCAGTTCTTCTCTAGAATCTGTTCCTTATTCCCGTGCTCCCCTTGGATCTGTATCACATTTTCAAAAACCAGAACTGAAGCTGCAAGGACACATAAACTTTAAGGTCAGCTTTGCACATTGGGTTATTTTAAGAATCCAAGAAAGCCATTGTTTACTCTGTACTATGGACGCCTGTCAGAGACTGGTGGCAGTGAACCTCATTGGACTGAATTCCAGACTCCCCCAGTGCTCAGAAAACCGTAAACATGGCGATGGCCTGGTTTATTTATTTATTATTATTTTTACTTTTTTTAAGTGCACGACGGAAGTGTGGAATAAATGTAGAGGAAGTAATCACACCACAGTAATATTTTAGGCATCCATAGGTGTTAATTTAGCTGCCTTGGGAGTACATTTTTTGTTTTATTTTTAGTGTAGGTTTAAGCACTTTGAATAGCATGATTCAGGGATTGATGGGTAATATTTGATATTCTCACAACTTAAGAAACATTTTTTCCTCTAATGCTTTGTCATATTTTTTAAAAATGAAATAAATGGAGAAGCTATCTATGACTTTAGAAACATTCCTCCCAAGTATTCCTCTATCAGCTCCATATGAGTACAAATGAAGGAAACTGTCCTGTGTTCACGTGCTCTATGTTTAACAAAATTTATGTTAGAACTCATAATAAAAAAGAGAAAAAAATGTATTTTCCCTAGTGCTTAGGTTTCACCCTTTTTTCCCATGGGGGCTGTGTGGGGTAAGAATATTCTAGTTTGAAAAACACAGCTGAAGGTGTGACTGTGTTAGCCAAGCCGAGGGAGAGAATGGCCTTGTGGACGTGGACATGTGTGATGTTCGGTGTTGCCTGTTTTTCATCTCCCACTGCTCAGGCTCCAAGGGGCGCATTACGGATTCAAGACTTCATCTGGTTCTTTAATGTAACCTCTACTTGCTGCCTATGAGTGTGCAACGCTTTATACTGGTGCTCAAATCTTTGGTTATTTAATTTATAATTCATTCCTTAGGTTTCCTGTGGGCAGAGAAGAAATTTCTATCTCATGCAGCCAGCTGATTTAAGCTTAGACTTTTCTATGAAATAAATCTAAGACACAATGAGTTAAGAGACCTGAACCCACTATATTTCTATGGCTAAATATCTAGTTGTTCAAACAGTCAACCATTTTGTCTTTATTACTTTCTTCGTAATACTATATGTATTTGAACCCTGTCGACTTAATCTTAAATATCTAGATACTGGTTTCTTCTTCACCTCTTTATTATTTAGTATTTTATAGCAAGAGAAAATATTAATTGAGAGCCAATCCCTAAACTCTTAAGTAAGTTTTGTTTATCCTAGAATAGTCATTAACTTTGACAGAGACCATTTATGTATTTTAAGATCACCGTTTCTAGGAAAACATTAATTCATACATTTGTAAATTATTTTCTGATTCTGGAATGATACCCTAGTTCTCCTTTTTCTAAGAAGTATTTTTTTAATCTTGTGCTTAATTTCTTTTTTTTTCATTTAGTTTAAGCTTATATCATTAGTCCCAGAAGAAAGCTCATTGAAATTCAAAGGAGACTATTGGTATTATACAAATGAAATGACTGAACGACACTAAGATAATACGCAGACATGGAAGAGGGAAGTCCCTGTCTCTGATCTGAACTGGCTTGGTCATTATTACCATTCCTGCCAATTGGTTAAGAGAGGTGAAGCATTAAATGAGTTAGAAATCCCACCTACGGACACATATTTCCTATCGCCGAAGAAATTTTTTTACAATATATACAGTTATTTCAAAGAGTTGGTAATGCATCCGAGTTCCCTGAAAGGAGAAGCTTGTCAGTGGAAGCAGAGCTATTCCTTGCCTATCGCAAACCCTTTCCACCTTATTGTTCTGAGCAAAGAAAGTAACCAACAGTCAAATTTTGATTGTCCCTAACAATAGATCTTAAACTGGGGATCAGGGACCCCTTGAGTCTATAAAAAGGGTTAAAGGAAATAATGAAGTCCTTGAAATTCCAGACAAAATTGTAAATGTGTGCAAAACTGTGTTTTCCTGGACTCAGAGTCAAAGGCATCCGTCACCTAAACAGCCATTGATGTTTGGATTTAGAGGATATCCTCAGACGGACACTCAGACAAACCACCTATCTTGCAGGCACTGTCATGGCCACTGTTCCTCACCTTCATTCATGAAAATTCACCGGATGCTTATTGTTCTTTTAACAAACAAAGGCAGTTCCTCTTCCCATATGACCGCACCTATGCAAGACTTGGCTTATAGTGAGGAAAAACTTTGTATGATGATAAATAATTCATGCCCAGATCAATGAGAACTGGCTTCTATTACTAAGGTAGTTTACTCATTTCTTAAGTTACTCAAAAGATAGTTTGGGGGGAATGTGAAATCATGTAATTTGGCATGATGTCTTATTTCATCAAACTTCTTTATGATTTGGGTTCAATCGTTTCCTGCAACAAAACTAAGAATTAATCCAGTATAGGAGTAGAAGAAACAACCATCTGACATGCTTTTCCAAAGGGCTCCAGACTTCTTATGCCAAGATTTAGAATTGGTTATATGCTTGGTTTTCAGCAATTGGACTTTTGCCAGGTTCAGGATATGCGGTATGACTTTGGGGCAGTACAAAAAATTTTTACAAGATGAAAGTTTGTGTTATGTTGGTACTTAAGACACAAAGAGCTGTAAGAACTAAATTTCAGTAAAGAGAAGGATGGTGGTGAGTTCATCCTAATCCTAAACTTTCGTGTTTTGTCATCATTAAACCTCAGTCCCATACATAGAAAATGCCCAGGCTAAAAAGAAGGAACTCAGCTCTAATCTTCCATTGAGTATTATTTCTTCCTTCCAGGCCTAGAATACAAAACATCTTCCCATTACAGAATTACAGACACATTAGATATATAAAAGAAAAATTTCCTCCTCCCTTTTAGTCAATGTCCCTCTGAATAGTCTGTGAGTCCACTGACAAACTGATGGTTCTGAATTGTTCATTAAAGTAAGTAGAGTAAGACACTATTGTCTTTCTACCATTCACTGCCTTCGTTGACGCATTCCCCAGGGCCAACAGCCTGAATCTATTCTCTTTCTAACGAAGGCAATCGGTCTCAGTCATTACACCGTATCCCGCCCCCCAACTAAAGGAACAGAAACTGAAGAATTGCACATGAACTTGAGACTATTACGTGTAATATTGATGTTGTGTAAATTTCAATCTTCATAGTCCAGATAACCTTAAGTTTCAAAGGGCATGCTGGTCATTTAAAAAAGATTTACTGTACAATGACATACTACATAGTGCATGAACATGTGGCAAAGTAAATTGGATCTATCCTTACTAGTCAACGAGAGACTAAATTGGGGGAGATCAGATGTGAGTGTTTTAGGTTAATTCTCAACTGGGATGAAGACATCTTTTCGTTAGAGTACATGGGCAGTTGTCCATATTCTTTGCAGCATATGCTTCTGGTAACTAGAATCCTTAGTGTGTTCTTTCCACCAAACTAGTGGAGATATGTTCATATAATCTGCTATTGAATTGTAAAAACTTTTACATTTTCAGAGTTTGAGGGAACCCGAATAGGAAAGTGAATCGAGTCATTTTCCTCTGCTGGTGTTCAAGTTAAATTTGAAACTCAGACACTCTCAGATATGTTCAACAGTCAGTAAAAAGTGCATTTTACATAGTGTTTCCATTTAGTTTCGCTTACCCTCTTTCCTCTTTGATTTTGTACAATCTAGAATGTATGTAACTCATGTGTAGGTGATGGAGGCGCTCCTTTTTTTCTTAGAATACTTACAATTATATATTTGGTTTTG